CCGTGCTGTGTCCAGGGGCCTTGTCCGTGTGTCCTTCTGTCCGTGTGCCCACCCCTGACCCGTGCTGTGTCCAGGGGCCTTGTCCGTGTGTCCTTCTGTCCACATACCCACCACTGGCCCGTGCTGTGTCCAGGGGCCTTGTCCATGTGTCCTTCTGTCCACATACCCACCCCTGACCCGTCCTGTGTCCAGGAGCCGTGTCCGTGTGTCCCTCTGTCCACATACCCACCACTGACCCGTGCTGTGTCCAGGGGCCTTGTCCGTGTGTCCCTCTGTCCACATACCCACCACTGACCCGTGCTGTGTCCAGGGGCCATGTCCGTGTGTCCGTCTGTCCACGTACCCACCACTGACCTGTGCTGTGTCCAGGAGCTGTGTCCGTGTGTCCCTCTGTCCATGTGCCCACCACTGACCTGTGCTGTGTCCAGGAGCCGTGTCCGTGTGTCCATACACCCACCACTGACCTGTGCTGCATCCGGGAGCTGTGTCCGTGTGTCCCTCTGTCCACGTACCCACTGCTAACCTGTGCTGTGTCCAGGGGCCATGTCCGTGTGTCCCTCTGTCCATACACCCACCACTGACCTGTGCTGTGTCCAGGAGCCGTGTCCGTGTGTCCCTGTGTCCGTGCTGACATGTGCCCACCCCTGACCCGTCCTGTGTCCAGGAGCCGTGTCCGTGTGTCCCCCTGTCCGTGTGCCCACCCCTGACCCCCCTCTCTCCCCGCAGCGAGGAGAAGGCCGAGGAGAACCTGCAGCGGCCGCCCAAGGCCAAGAAGGTGAAGAAGGAGCGGAAGGAGCCGGAGCCGGCGCAGCCCGCGGCCGAGCCCGCCGAGGCCGGCAAGGCCGAGAGCTCGGAGGGGGCCGGGGCGGCCCCCGCGGCCCCTGAGGCGTCGGCGTCGCCCAAGCAGCGCCGCTCCATCATCCGCGACCGCGGGCCCATGTACGACGACCCCACGCTGCCCGAGGGCTGGACCCGCAAGCTCAAGCAGCGCAAGTCGGGGCGCTCGGCCGGCAAGTACGACGTCTACCTGATCAAGTGAGTGCCGGGGGGGGGCTCGGGGAGGGGGGTTGAGGGCCGGGGGGGGTCCCGCCGGCCGGCGCTGACGGTCCCTTTCCCTCCCCAGCCCGCAGGGAAAAGCCTTCCGCTCCAAGGTGGAGCTGATCGCCTACTTCGAGAAGGTGGGGGACACGTCGCTGGACCCCAACGACTTCGACTTCACGGTGACGGGGCGCGGGAGCCCCTCGCGCCGCGAGCAGCGACCCCCCAAGAAACCCAAATCGCCCAAGGGCCCCGGGACGGGCCGCGGCCGGGGGCGGCCCAAGGGCAGCGGCGGCTCCCGGCCCAAGGCGGCGGCGGCGGCGGCGGCTCCGGCGGCCGAAGGGGGGGGCGGCCCGGCCAAGCGGGCGCTGGAGAAGCCCCCCGGGAAGCTGCTGGTGAAGATGCCGTTCTCGCCGGGGCAGCCGGGCCCCGC